ATTTAAAAACTGGTGAGTTTTTCGGAAAAACTCTAAACACGTATATTTTATTTTGTTGTTTTACATATTTTAAGATTTTTTATAAATTTATACAGGGTGTTTCATAAAATATGACCATTGAATAATCACGATTCTACTTAAACTGCTTCACGTTTAAAGCTGATTTTTGGCAAACGGATTGACTGTGGGGTGTAGAGATTCGATAAGAAGGGGTTTCTCGAATCTCAAATTTCAAGCGGGTGAAAACGCCCCTCAAATATTACAATATTTGTTATTTAAAAAACGGTTAGTCTTTCGGGAAAACGCTTGGACAAGCATAATTTATTTGGTTTTTTTTTTAAATATTTTGAAATGTTTTAAAAACAGGGTGTTCCAAAAAGTTGGGTAATTTCTTAACCACGATTCTGCTTAACCTGCTTGACGTAAAAAGCTTATTTTTGGCAAACGAATTTTTCGAAAGTCAAATTCCAACGAGATGAAACTACCCCTCAAATATTACCAAGTAGTGATGGGCAAAACTGTTATTTTTAGATAACAGTTGAAACTGTTATAGTTATTTATAAAAAACAGCTTAAAATAACAGCTTAAAAATAACAGGTTTCTTTATTTTATTGCTAAATATCTGAAAGAGTATGAAGCGGTCGCCGCCAAGCGTATTAACGCAGTTGCAAGTTGCTACAATGACATGCTCGGTGGTAGTATTTCCAGGGTGTCTAAAAATTTCTAAATATCGATTGTTATCTAAAATACCTCTCTAAAAACGGTCGTTGTTTACAAATAAGCGCTGTTTACAAATTGCGATATAAAAAAGCCAAAATTCCGCCACTCGTCTATACGTATACATTCCGATCTACCTACGCCTTGCCCCTCGATCGGCGTAGATCCTGAATTGCGTAGCAGTGTACAGGGTGCATCTCACTCGACGGGCAAGAAGCTCTTAGTTATAATTTTACCATTTGTGGTCAAAAAATAGCAATATAAGAAAATGTGTAGTATATTCTTCATAAGTAAACCAACTATACACTAGAGTTCGAATTAATTTTACACTTAAACTAGCGTGTACCCGCGACTTCGTTCGCGTCGAATTAATAATTTGTAATGGTGATGATAAAGCAAAGCAAGAATTTCTATTGACATACAAACTGGATAAAATTTTCTCACATTTGCCAAAAATAAGCTTTAAACGTCGAGCAGTTTAAGCAGAATCGTGGTTAATCAATTACTCAACTTTTTGGAACACCCTGTATTATTTTTTAAAAAATTTCAAAATATGTAAAAAAACAAAATAAATTATGCGTGTCCAAGCGTTTTCCCGAAAGACTAACCGTTTTTTAAATAACAAATATTGTAATATTTGAGGGGCGTTTTCACCCTCTTGGAATTTAAGATTCGAGAAACCCCTCCTTATCGAACCTCAACCCCACAGTCAATCCGTTTGCCAAAAATCAGCTTTAAACGTCAAGCAGTTTAAGCAGAATCGTGATTACTCAATGGTCACATTTTATGAAACACCCTGTATATATTTTTAAAAAATCTTAAAATATGTAAAACAACGAAATAAAATATACGTGTTTAAGAGTTTTTCCGGAAAACTCACCGGTTTTTAAATAAAAAATATTCTAATATTTGAGGGTGGTTTCACCCCCTTTGAATTCGAGTTTCGAAAAATCCCTTCTTATCGAACCTCTACACCCTAAAGTCAATCCGTTTTCCAAAAATCAGCTTTTTACGTCAAGGGCTTTAAGCAGGATCGTGATTAATCAATGACCAGATTTTTCAAAACACCCTGTATACATTTTTAAAAAATCTTAAAATATTATTCTGAAAATTTTTCAGAATAAATAAATACCTAAATATTGAAACTTAATAACGTACTGAAACATACAGCGCCATAATATCTCGACCTCCGCCCGTTATGCTCGTAACAGGTTGAAAAACAATATATCTAAAACAACTGATGCGTTATTCTCCAACCTGTTTCGAACTTCCATCGACAATCGACCGATGCAGCAGCCTTCCTTTCCCACTCCTGTTATCTCGACCGCCAGGCGTTATGCCCGCAACTGTTTCAAAAAACCTGCTTCTTTTATATCCTATTATTTTTAAGCTGTTATAAGCGCAATACGACCGTCGACGGGATCGACCGAAGCAGCTACGTTCGCCGTAGCGCATTCCCCACTCCGTTGTCCGTTGTCTCGCCGCCTGTATCGATGGTTGACGAAATAACAGGTTTTCCATCCATACTAGTTGTTTTTTGGAATTGCTTCGAGCAGCATAGAATTTCGGGGCGGTGCAGAGCGCCGACTTCGTTTTTCGTTTCACGAGCGGCCGATCTCTACGTGTCGTTATTTTATATCTGTTATTTTTTTGAAGTAGTAACGGTTGCGTTATGTTATTTCTAAATAATTGTTATAAAATAACAGATAGTTAAATAACAACCCATCACTATTACCAAGTTACATATATAATAATATCGCCATATTGTTTTTTCTCATGCTGACATAAATGTGAGAAAATGTTATCCAGTTTGTATGTTAATGGAAATTCTTGCTTTGCTTTATCATCACCATTACAAATGATTAATTCGACGCGAACGCAGTCGCTGGTACACGCTAGTATATATTATATTATATTCATTCTTTTTTTTTGAAAGAAAAACTGTATGGAAAATTTAAGGCTTTTATAATCGTGGATGATTGTCTTGTCAGGTTGAATATTATTTATAATAAGGGAGGATCTGCCGCTTAATACTACGTAGCCTAAAATAATACAAGAGAGAACACAACAATATACCTTTTCTAATAGCCCCTGAAATACTGTTTATGTTTTTGTTCAAGGTGTAATTTCTCACGTATATCTTTGGCGAGAAGACGGCCAAAAACCAGAAGAACGCTTTATATATAGGAATAGTAGGCGCCCTCACTGGCTGCCTTATGAATTATGACCTTATAAAATTTGCCACTTAATAAAATCCGTACTTTCTTTTGGCCAGGACAAAAACCCTTTTAAAACTTGTCTCCAACTTTCATAAAACTAAATTAATATTAGCCGCGAACTTTTTATCTTACGTACTAAAATATATGGCTGTATATCAACATAAAACCCTTGTTTTATTGCTCGAAAAACAGTCTGGATGAGAAAAATAAAGCAATTATTATTACGCCATGATTATGACTTTTGTTATAATAGTTTTAGACAAATATTTTTCCTATCTGAAATGCTATGCTGTAAGACAGATCCTTTGGAAGGAATTCCTTTTAAAAAATAATTACTACTGACGTCTTATCCATTCCAAATCTTTACCTAATTTTAATAAAATATCTAGTAAATAAGCAAATAAGCATCATATCAATATCTAAGATGCAAATATCAGTTATTTTACTTGGAAAATTTTACAAAAAAAAACTACTGGATATTTGCTTGTTTTTTCTTTCTTGTAAATTTATTCTACTGCCTATGTTGCCATATTATCAGGAAATTATGTGTTTTAACTAAAAATATTTCCAAAATGTTTTTCAAAAGTTTCCAAATTTTCAAAAAATTTTTCGAATTATACTACCTTTAAAAATATTTGCACCTATTTAAGACTCACCCTGTATATTGCTATAGTGGTGACACCATTTCCAGGTTTACGATTAAAAAAACGAATTTTAATATTTCTAGCTTCCATTTTGCTGGAATTAAAAACTCCCTCTTGAATTTATATTATATAAAGAGGTATTTTTATTTCATGATTTTTCCGCTCTGTCGGAGGATGCTATGAAAAACAGGTTTCCGCATGTAAGCGAATATAGTTGTAAGCGGGACAAAGGCACGTAATTGCCTGGTATTAATTCTAAGCAGAATTAACGCCTTTTATTATGACCGCAAATATTAAATAGCTGGCACCATTCATCTAAGAACTATGTGAGGAATTTTAGCTTTATTTTATCCTAACGCCGGAAAACCACCAACAGTCATATAGATATATACGGAGGGAAGTGTACCGGGTGTATCATCACCACCAACAAGAAACTTGATTTTTATAGTAGTAAGCGTACGAAAAAACTTATTTTTAAACGACACCCTGTATATTATATGAGATATCAACTCTAATCTACTTCAATATTTTGTATTGAATAGTATTGCCTATTAACTTCCAAGTTACTCTGATGCAACTCGCAAGTTTTTAAACATAAAAATGTATTTAAAAGCTTTTATAAGATTTCTGGTTTTTGTAGGTACATATTTTCTCTTTATTTTACCAAAATAATCGTTATTTTACAATTATTAGAAGAGTCTTTGTATCTATAAAACATTTATACAAAGTTATTAAATCTTTAATTAGTTTATCATTCTAGTTAAGACATAGTATAGACTTGATGGAGGAATCTTCAGATTAGTAATAACTTTCTGACAATACCGCATACTCCCACCCAGATGCGCCATATTCTAATAATGAAGCAATCACTTTCAGTTCAAATGTCGATGTCTCAAGACTTCCATTATTGTCATGAACTTGCTAAACATTTTTGAAATTTCCCTTTGTTTCTAGTTATTACGTATCCAGTTGTTATATTTATACTAAAATATTTTTGGTTTGTGATACATAGAGTTGTACCTATTTTTGTCTTTTTTAGATTGATGTTTTATTCAAAGCAAAAAAGAATCTATTTTCGACCTGCTTTTATCTAAAATACCAGTGTGTTATATAGCTGTTTCAAAGCCATTTTTGTGCAGCCAGAATTTTGTGTCAAATTTTAAAACGTATACGAAACATTAGGAAGTTTTCTTTAAATTTTCTAAACTGCCAGTTTTACATAACCATTTCCCATTATTTTCTTACTGTCAGTTTTCACGGTTTTCATTGTTGGCAAATTTTCTTTTCTGCGTTTTCGCATTACTTTTGACTGAAGGCTTATAAAATATTTAGTTGTTCTCATAATATAATCGACATGTGTTGCACAATTTGAGAAGAACTTGAAGTTTTGTTTGGAAAGCCGAAAATCAATATCGAGACATTTCATATTAAAAACATTTATTAATCTACATTCAAAGCTAATAATGACATACAGTCTTAGAAAATATATCCATTATACTGATTTTTTTTGTCTAAAGTCTTATTTGAAATTAAATTATGTGACGTAAATGCAAATAGTATTATTTATATATATTTATCGGAAAACATCGAACAATATTTGTATTTTTTACAATTATATCATATCCTTACGAGCTAACAAATACATGAACTGATTGAATATTCCTGTTATTAATACTGTTATACACGCTTAAAGAAATTATACATAAGAAATGCTTAAAAGTTTCACTTTTTTTAAATAAATTTATTTACATACTGCAATTTTGACAAACATTCTTAAAAATAATCAACAAACAAATTTCAAAAAATATATGTACATAATAATTTTTGAGCAAAACAGGCATTTCTTTTTGAATTTAAGTACAGTTTTATTTAATTATTGCAACAACTATTTCACGTTTCCTTTTTTTGTAATGGACGCAGAAAATTTCTTTTGGCATTACTAGCATTGAAAACATTAGTTAATATCTTCAGGTATAAAAAAGAGTTGTATAAATAAAAAATGCAGGTGCTCCACTCAGACATCTTACAACGAGATCTTTTAATAAAAATACACAATGGCCACTCAAACGAAGTTGCCACACTAGATTTCGAGACAGCTACGTATAAATTGCACAAAATGTCGTTCTTACGTCAGAATAATGTCACAAATAATCACAATACATAAAATGACTTTCCCTCAGTTCTACTGGGGGAAAGGGAAATCTTCGTCGCAACTGGATTCTTGACTCGATGGTGGAGTATCTAGCTGCGGAAGACCCAAATCCAGGTACTCCTCGTTGGCTGTTATTGTTAAAATTCGGTCCAAGTCCTCAACTAACTCGCTAAAGACAGGTCGTTCGGTTGGCTGGTAGCTCCAGCACTCCCGCATCAGCATATATATTTCCAACGAACAGCATGGAGGTTTCTCCATTCTATGTCCATTTCGCAATAGATGAAACAGTTTCTCTACGCTGGGCACGGAGGGATATGGCGTTCCTAAAACGTAAAATATGCTTAAATATATTTCTTTCTAACAGCAACAAGAGTTGAGAACTAAAATTGCCAAACACTGACCACCTAATGTCATTATTTCCCACAGTAAAATGCCATAGGACCAAACATCGCTTTTTGTCGTATATACTCTATGAAATAAGGCTTCTGGAGCCATCCACTTCACTGGTAACCTTCCATCGCTCTTCTTCCTGTAGTAGTCGTTGCAATGGATGTCTCGAGCTAATCCAAAGTCCGCTATTTTCAATATGTAGTCGTCACTAACCAGTACGTTTCTCGCTGCCAAGTCTCTATGAATGCACTGAAATATTAAAAAAAAACATTTATTCTAGAAAAAAAACATCTCTGCAAACTTCAAACCCTTCTGGAAGATAAATAGTCCATGCCTCGAGCCACCTGGTAAGCAAAAGAAACCAAATCCTTTTGAGTCAAAGTCTTCTTTTCTTTATGTTCCATACCGACTGCTATTTCGTAGCCTGAAGATGGTCTGTGTTGTCTTAGAAAGTCTCTCAAGTTTCCAAAAGGTGCATATTCTACAATGACGTAAAGTGGGCCTCCTTGAGTACAACATCCGATCAGGTTTATTATATTGATATGTTTTCCAATCATCTTCATCATTTCCATCTCTGATACCAAGTCCATCATCTCGTTATCGCTGTGACCATCTTAGAAAAGAACAACCGTTTTAAAACAATATTTTTTTTTTCGTTTTATTTGTCGTACCTTTGAGCATTTTAACTGCAACCGTACATTTGCTGTCTGGTTTTAATAAATTCACTGCTTCTGCTTTGACGACTTTTCCAAAAGCTCCTTCTCCAAGGTTTTTACCGAGGTGAAGGTTCGATCTGGACATCTCCCAATCACAATCCATAGGAAGTTCGTATTCTGAAATCATTCCATCACCGTTATTGCTCACTTTTGTCTTTTGCTTTTCAATCTTTACTACAGGCATTAGCTGTGATAAGAAAGATATTAGTTCTGTAAACTGTGCAATAAGAAATGTTTTTACCAATGGCTCGGTAACATCTTCTGTAGCATTGCTGCTTTTTTCAATTATAACTTTCTTTGTCCATTGAGTTATTATTGCTGCTCTTGCCGTTTCCACTGCTATCATTTTTTCTCTTTTTTCACTGTAAAATTTAAGGAGATGTTAAATATTTATAGTTGATTTAATGAAATTACTTACCGTTTGATCTTCTGTTGGTAATAAACACAAATGCAAAGGAACAGTAAAAGGACAACTCCGACAACTACAACTATTATTAGCCCTATTTTAACAGTCATTTCCTTGGGATCTTTAATATCTAAAAAATTGAAATAATTTACATCTTACAATAAAGATGTTCTTTAAATGTCTCTAATCTTTTAACTCAATATGTTTGTACCTGGTAAAACATCGACTACAGTCAAATAAGCCTTTGATACTGTTTGTCCAAGACTATTTGCAGCCACACAGGCATACCAACCTTCATCTTGATATGTAACATTAAAAAGTTCTAATGTTTCAGGTTCAAACGCATCTCCAGTCTGAAATGCGATTCACGTTAGAGATTTTAAAATATTTTTAACGACACTATAAATTAGCTAATATTAAATCGGCAATTAGAGATTTACTAAATGTTTCTTACCACATTCGGTTAAGTGTAGCACTAGAAAAATTAGTCGTATTAACAGATTGACAAACACACTGAAACAAACTTCCTAACGGAACTTCATGCTTGTTAAAAGTTACACCTGAAAAAATCTTGCAAATTTACTTATAATCACTGCTAATTAAACAAAATTTATTGTTCAGTTTATCTTAGTTAAACTAAAAAAGAGTCATATTATGTTAGTAACTACAAAATGCCACGAATTACGCACAACTGTATCCATGCACGCAAGTTTTTTTAAAATATCATAAAAGTCTAAGAAAAGACACGGTTGTCTCGATACTCTGTACAAACATTCATTATCGTGTAAATCATACCTGTATAAAAGCTTTGCTTTTTAATGTGGAAAATAAGATTAAACCATACAGTAATGTTAGTAGGAAAATCCATGCTGAAGCAGATTTTTAAGTGAAGAGTACCTGCACCGTGGACCCGGAACTGTTATCTGCCGAATTTGTATTTGTGTTATTTAGCTTTATCCATGTAATATGAGGATGCAAATCAGATAAAAAATGGCATTCAAGAGTTACGTTGCTTCCCTTAATCGCTGTTGTGTTTATCAGTTCTTTTGTAAGAATTGGCGTGTTGTGGTATCGCTCTGAAAATAATTGAAAACAGTCACCAACACCGAGGGTCGTTATTCCATCTTTAAACCATCTTTAAATAATATTTCTTCGATATAGTTAGTCACAAATAAACAAAAACACTTCTTCCATCACATTAGAGTCCCGTAGAAGTCTAAACATCATGAGTACGCCCAATAATTTACATATTTCGTCGTAGTCCAACTCATTACATTTCACTCATAACTTTATGAAATAGAAAGCTCTATTTAATTGTCGTATTACGAAGAAATAAGTGAACTACATGGAAGTATGTTTTGCATAAGAAATTTGGATACCATCACCAGAGAGATCAGCTTTTTCGAAGGTATCAGTACCTTGATTTCGTTCTCATCTGGAGGCTTGGGGTTGTTTTCGTCGAAAGCGTATGATGAGTTAAAGTGAATCCAGTAAATGAAAGGCTCCAAGTCGACAATCATCAAAGGACATTCAAACTTTGCCGTTGAATTAACAAGAACCGTAATGTTTTCCGGATAGCCTGGTTTGATGTACGGTTTATGCGGAAATCGCTCTGTTTCAAAGGAAATAAATATATGTTATTCTTTGAGAAAATTGTAAGTATCTATTGCCGTCGCCAGTGGAGGAAACCAAATAGAAGTAGGCTAATGGAACCGCCTCGGTATCTCATTCTATATTATACCTTGCCAACATATAAAAAAATAGAACTAATAACGTATGGTCCTAAAGTTTTGGGAAAAAAATCAGAAACTGACAACTCTTATAAAAAGTTTTATATTTTATCATATTTTTAAACAACCTATATTTACTATCCTAATTATAAAATAAAATTCAAACCATGGACATGGGACCATTATTTTCGATTTGCCTAAGAATTCCCCTGAAGCGTTCCATCATCCTTTGGACAACTTCGGCGTCGATTTCTCTAATTTTTCTGAATATACGGCATCGCAATTGTTCTTCGTTTTGTGCTTCCCACCCGTTATTGTAGACTTTCCGACTCAATATTGCCCAGAACTCTTCGATTGGGCGAGACTGAGGTAGATTAGGGGGATTGTCTACTTTCGGTACAAAATTGCTGTTGTTCGCTTCATACCAGTCCCTTGTCATTCTCGCGTAATGGCATGAAGCGAGATCCGGCCAAAATATTATTTCGTCATCCACATGATGCGTGTTGAAAAACTGAAGTTTAGGGAGACAATTCTCGATATAAAGCTCTGCATTTAAGGCCCGAACAACGCCAATGTAAGGATGTGAGATGAAGCCAGCCTCAGAAATGGCATACCATACCAAAATTTTGTCCTCAAACTTTTTCATACTTTTTAATCTCACATCATCAGGGACATTCTCATAATTGTCCGTGTAGAACCCATCATTGCCCTTCATCTCAGAGTTGGACAATGTGAAATATTTCTCATCATCCATCACGATCAACTTGTTGACGAAATGCACTCTCAGCGCGCGGCAACATCTCGGAATTCTCTCTAGCTGGGCCTCTGTATATTTTGGAGCTTTCCTCCTTTTTCGGAAGAGAATATTGTTACTTGATAGGGTTGTAAACACCGTAGTCTTTCCAATATTAAATCTCCTGGCGAGTTTTCGCTGTGAGATCCCAATTTGGTGTTTTGCTGCTTCAATTAGTCTTCCTTCTCTTATTTGGTTCAAAATGAAGGCCGGATTTAGGCAAATTTACACATGGTATCCCTTCTTCACATTCGTTGACTGTGCGATAAATTGTCGATTTGCTAATGTTTTGATCCCGATAAATGACGACAATATCTCGTTTCGCCATTCGCCCAACAAGATTATAAACTACTCGAACGAAGATCAATTTTATAAGACATTTTAAGAAGCAGAACCCAAAATCTTTTGCTTTGTTCATTGAAGTGACATGACTGATGACCATTCATTCATTTTCATTACCATGACTACTTCATTAAATGCATTTTATTACTTAACCAAACCAGATGAAAATTTTCCCAAAACTTTAGGACCATACGTTAGGTATGTTTTCCCCAAAAACTCACCTACTACGTCAATACTGTAAGTATAATTAATGCATGCAAAATTGCAGATTTTGCATGTATAATTCCCGCTGTCGTTGGTAACAAGATCTTCAAGAGTCAGTGTCCAGTGATTATATTTAATGCCACCGAGCTGTCTGTTGGGTGTTTCGCCATTCTTAAACCAGGTAATATTAGGCATTGGTGTTCCAGCAGCTTTACATTTTAACTGTGCCATATTTCCAGCTGGTTTCACAATAAGCTTTTGTCCCATTTGATGTTTTTTCGTAAAATATGGTGGCTCATAGATAGTTAACCGAAATTGCTTTACAACCCTGGAACCCGATTGGCAGATGTATGTTCCATCATGTGCAAGGCTGAGATTGGCGATTTCATAAGTCCGATTGTTTCTATGCTAAAAAGAAGAATAATCTAATTTGTATATTTTAGTCTATCACACAGTGTTGCCAGAATTGAAGGATTTCCTTCAATATGAAGGATTTTACAGTCAAATTTCGTCGATTGAAGGGCTGAAAGATTCTTATCCAAAAAGAAGACAATATGAAGGTTTCTGGCAGTTTTTCACAATAAAAATTGTTAAAATATACAGGAGTATTTATTGTTTTATGTAGTAGGAGTTTTTATTGTATGGTTTATCTATTTTTTATTTTATTTTAACGGTGTTTAATTAAGGATACCGTAGTTTAAGCGATGTTGCTGTCAAAAAGTCCGCAAATCGAAAGATTTTAATATTTTTAACAAAAAAATAATAGATTCATTTTTATCTTTCAACATGTCTATTATACACATACCATAACTGTGTTAACGTGTTATTGTTTATAAAAAAACCTTAATTAAATACATCTGTGTCCAAAAATTACCAGAGACAATTTTTTAAAAAATTTCTCCTAATTATAAAATAGGTAAAATACAAGAAATCTGGTGATTTTTCACACGATCTGGAATTTTTTGTAAAGTTGAAGGAAAAACGTTTTTGGCTCCGTTGAAGAAATTCGCTCCAAAATTTCTGGCAACACTGCTCTTACAGATAAAAACTAACCACTGTAATAGTTTCATTATTTTTCTTAAATTGCCAGTCAATCTTTTCCCCCAATTCTGGACATTGAAATACTACAGATTCTTTTACCAGTTTTGTAATATCATCGACGGGGAGCTGGGGGGACACCGGGGCAACTGATGGCTCAGAATATACTGAAAAAAATTAAATATTGCTTGGATTAAATTTAAATCGTTTAAGATATACAAGCCGCATAAGCATATATGGAAAGGACAAACAGACATCTTATATGAGCTTTAATTTGCCAATTACGGGTAATAAAATAAAAGACAATTCTCTCATTGAGGCCGTCTGTTTATTCTCTCAAATTATTTTATTATATTTGTGTAAATAAAGATTGATGTGGCCTAAGAGGTTACTTACTTAGTCAAAACGAAATTTAGGTTTTAAAATGTATAAACCTTCCTAATTTTACTTACTTGTCGGATCAACAGCTAGAATATTTACTATGTACAGAGTAATCGTGAGGATAAAAGGCCATAACTGAAACGCCATATTTTCTCCAGGTCGTCGTTTCTCTGTTCTATAATAGCCCTGCAAAAAGAAATTTAACAGATCGTTTTAACTAATATTTTAGCTGAGGAAAAAACAATATTTACTCGGCCATATCCTGCTTCTATGAAGCTATTTTTTCGCTATTTTATAAACATCCAGTTTATTGCGAAAAAACATAAACAAATTGTTAAATTGCCTGTTAGTTTTCGATTGGGTTTAATAAAATTTTTTCGATTGGGTTTAATAAAATTTTACAAATAATACATATGTATGTATGTATGTATGTATGTATGGGTTTAATAAATTTTTGTCTGGAATATTGGAAAATTGAACACCCAGTTTGCAAATATGCTATTTCTTATATTTATTTGTACTAAAAATGTGCTGTCTCTAGCCTCCCGGTACCGGTATAAATTAATCCCGGCAAAAATAGGGACGGCAAAATAGGAACCGGTAGAGATTAGGCGATACGAGATTAGGCAATACTTAACCTGAAATATGTTTATTTCATTTTTATTTGCTATCACAGCTATTATAATTGTACATCAATCTTATTAATTATTTTGTTAATTAAAAAAACTCATTTTTGAGTAATCATTAATGAAATTCAAAACATTTGAGGTTCTACAAGTATTGGAAACGAGACAGTAAATTAAGAGTAAATTAGACGTAGTATTACGCAGTAAAATGTTTTAAAATGTCATACATGTCATGTGTCATATCTGAGGAAGAAAAAACAACTTGCAGTTTGTGTCTGCTTAAAAATCACGCTAAATGGCTAGCACTGAAAAGGAAAATAAAATTCTGGTTGGTTCATTTTGGAACATTTTGGAACAACCGGGATTACCAATATATTAGTACGTTATTTAGTAACATCTCAAATTTTACCGGCATTACTGCAAGTACCGGTACATTTTTAAGTCATTCCTGTACGTCACTGGAACCGGGAGGTTAGTCACAGTGTTAAAAATGTTCAGATTTTTAAGATAAAACTCAATATGACGGTGTGTCTTGTGTGTTCATATTAGAATGAACTTTCCACAGGCCTAAGAATCAAAAGCGTAAATAGAAAAATAAACAGAAAGAGTCACTGGCATCACCAGACTATTAAACTATTATCATGGGTACAAAAAAGGATCTGGCAACCCTCACATCTACCATAGACGTGCGCTTTTTTCGTTCTTATTTTAAACTTTTAATTTTAGCCGCAAAAAATCCGCAGTTCTCAGCCATAACAAACGTAAATAGTTATTATAAAGATAAATAAATATATGGGAGTTATTTTTGGATGATATTAACCGTTTTAATACTGCCCGAGCGCGTTTATAGCCGAGATCGGTCGTACCGCCACTGAATAAAGTTTTAAAAGAAGACGAGCACATGTGTCTCACACGTGCGGCTGTTTTTAGTCCACAATTTCTGGACCCCTGCAGACTTTCTACCTGACAGCCTTAGTTTTTTCACTTTTGCCAAATATTCTCATTTTAAGATGCCAGGATAAAAATGTAACTAAACAGGCTCTCACTTATAGCTTTTAACTAGCTCTTTAAAAATATATTTTACAGGAAAATGAGTTGAAATGGCTTTAAAGAAGGGAACAAAACGATTCTTTGTAATTTCTACTGCTTTCCAGTTTAACTTGGTCAGAGTTGAGAGAGATCTGACACGTATGAAGGTTGTTTGTTGTATTTTTTAAAGAAAACGGAGCAAAATTAGCATCTGAACAAGTTCTGAGAACCATTTCTCTTAATATGTTGTAGTGTATATTATTCAAAAGTAGGTGTTTCTAGAGGGTCCGGCGTCGGTCCATAAGTGCGTCGGGCATCTGTAGCTCCTAGATTAAAAAAGATAGGAATTTTGAAAGAAGTGCAAACCTAAATCATAGCCTTAAGTATGTATTAGGATGTATTTCAAGAAAATATTTAACTTCTTCAGGGTGGCTCAAAAAGTGTTGGTGGATGGGGATGATTTTTTTTAAATGAAACACCCTGTATATTATTGCATTTTTGGCTTTCTTTCTGATCACTTTTCATAAAAACATAATCCTAAGATATTAAATATGTTTTGATAGTTTCAGGAATATTAATAAATATTTTTTTTATTTTTTTACAAGATTATTAAAAACACAAAAAATTTCCTGAAATCAAAACTATACTAGGTATTTGCTATAGTTGGTCTGTACTCACTTTCCTATAAATATCGTAATCTTAGACCGTATTGGGTGTTCAAAATTTTATGGCAAATTTTCCAAAATATAAAATAATTTTTCTTGAAAAACGCCCTGTATATTATAGTTTTGTTAGATGGAGAATTAAAAAATGAGCATTCTTTGTATTTAAAGTATTTTAAAAATTTTAGCGGTTTCGCAAATATTCGTGTTTTATTATGGCTCTTTCAACTTTCAACAGTAAAATACCGGACAAAAATTATTAGATACATATTATTTATGTAATATAATATTACGAAAATCCGCAAAAGCGTTAAAAAATTTGCAATACTTTAAATACAAAAAAATGTTCATTTTTAATCCTTCATCTAAAAAAAGAATAATATACAGGGTGTTCCGTTTAACAAAACGGAGAAAAACTATTTTATATTTTAGAAAGGGCTTGGCATAGAATTTTGAACACCCTGTATGATTTAAGATTACTATATTTATAGGAAAGTTAAGTACAGACCAACTATAGTAAATAGTAAATACCTAGTAGGTATAGTGTTGATTTGAGGACGTTCCTTGTATTTTAAAAAAAAATTAGAAAAGGTTGGAAAAAATATTTTTTAAATTATTCAATAATATCTTTTAAACTATCAAAACATATTTAATAGTGGTTTAAGATTTTGCAAAGCGATCAGAGAGGAAGCCAAAAATGCAATAATTTGTTATTATTTAAAAAAAAACCATTGCGATCCACTCACACTTTTTTGAGCCACCCTGTATAAGTTACAATATTTTTCTGAAACTTACATCCCAATACATACTTTAGGTCTGCACCTATACAAAATTCCTAAGTTTCTATTATAGGAGCTACAGATGCCCGACGCATTATTGACTGACCCTGTATAAAGGTTTTTAAATATGTTTTTGTCATACGCTCCCAAAAACAGCTATTTTACGGACTCATTTCAGTCCGTAAAATGTTTCTTTTTCGGCCTAGGCCGTAAAGGTCGTCATGGCAACCTTTATGGACTAAAATGTCTAAATTCGTTATTTGGTTGTTTTATTTTGTCATTCGAAATTTGTCACAAAATCACATAAAATTATACATATATTTATAATTAAATTATTAAATACTAACAATATCAAAAGCTAAGTTATTTGTTTAAAGTAAGTACCTAGGTACTTACTTTTTTCGTGGAAATAATTTAGCAATACATCTTCATTTTACAACAATACGCCATTTTTGTCTTTCCATTCATTAAAAACATCATATTCTTTTCTGGTAAATGGCACGAGACTTCACAGGAAGTAATCCAACACGATTTCTTTGGCCTTATTAGGCAATAATATGTTCGGGATTTTGGAACATTTTAAATTGTTGATGAATTTGTGTGATTTTGTGACAAATTTCGAATGACATGTCAAAATGCGATGAAATAAACAAACTCGTTACTAAGATATGAATTTATAAGCCAACTTTTTCAAACATTATAATTTCAAATATGGAAAATTTGCAAATATGCGTTCTAAAAAACTGTAAAAAGCGTATGACAAAAAATAGTGTATGTAACACGTACCTAAATTATGTTTTTTAGGACTCATCTACTATTTCGGACTCGGCTAACGCCTCGTCCGCAAACAGTAATGATTCGTCCTAAAAAACATCATTTTAGGTACTAGTTACATAAATAGCTATTATGTGTAAAACGATAATCCTCAACGGTATTATAACTCAACGATGTACTGAAAACAAAATTATAATTTATTCGTGATAATAAAATTTCCTAAATTATAGAAAATAGTTTTTATAGTAATAAAATTGATACAGATATGTCACACCAAAAATCTCTGTTGGCTGTTCAATGTTTTTAGACCAAACGAAATGGCTTGGTATCGAAATCTAGATGTATCGAGTTGCTTGTCAAGCTGTCACTCGTCTTAGTCACTAATTATATCATTCAGAGAGGAACAGCATGGCGGTGTAAGTAATTTATCGGCGTGGAGTATCGGCAGAGTAAAAAGTCAACCGTCTAATTGACTGTATAAACGTTAGTTTATGCAAGCTTATAGTCACCGTTTCTTCTAAGACCGTTACTTTTTTATATGCTACAATGCAATCGTCGAAATGGCGATTACTTCATTACTTTTAACAGCACCCAAAGGCACCAGCCAAGTAAGATCCTTATTTTAAATGGGGTTATGTACGTACTTTGAATAAATAATCATAAATTAATTATTAAATTTTCTAATGTATTGCAACATAAATCAAAGAGGTGGTGCCATGAGAATGTCTCTACTACCTCCATGAAAAATCAAGAGAACTTAATAAATATTTGTTTCTTGAGAGCATCCTGTATAAAGTTTTTTTTATGGGAAAAAAATTGTTCCGACTATATCTTAATTGTATTTTAAATCCGTTTAGGTAGTAATTTTTTATGGGCTACAAGTAAATAAAATAATGTTTCTTTATCTGGTAATTAGTTGTTTTAAAAGCTCAACTTTTCTTATCTGTTTTGGTTGGCTTAAATCACTGGAAGCAATGCTCAAAGCCGGATAAACACCTATAAAAGCTAATTAAATTTAGAGTAAGCTTAAATCAGGGGAAATAAAAAGAAAATGAAAATAAACCTTCTTTTTTCTTCGTAAATTTGTTTGAAATACCTATAGGGCAATAATGTGCTGATTGTTTTGATAATTATACCTTTTATTATTGAAATATCTTGACTCACTCTTCAAAAAATCTTATATTAGTGTTTTCAGGGATGTAGCTGCTGAAAGCTCCAAAGAAATTACAAACAAATTTGTTTTCAGGATATGATTCATGCCCGTACTTTTAAAACCTTATTTATCTATATTTTCACGTAACGTCTGTATAAACAAG